AAAAATGTTCTGAAAAGTTATAACATGTATGTTATGAAATTTCATAACATATGTTGTGAAAACTAACAACATGAGACTGTGAAAGTTTCGAATCGTTCAAACAAGTTCCGGGGATTTTACTGCAAATATACTATAATTGTAAGTGACACTGTCGAGTTAGACAGTTGACAGTTGATAAAAATTGATGTGCCTGATGCTTCGTTTCTTACGAAGGAACAGACACAACTCGAGGGTGACGGGTCAGCACCCTAGGTGAGAGGCCGTTACTTAATCAAAGTTGTGGTACAACACATTACCAAAAATTTACTTTAGTTTTAATCAGTGTTTACTATGTCCATATTAGAGTACAACAGCTTCCCCCAAATCCTCAATTCTCTTACATTGCATAAAATCAGTTTCACTGTGTTCAGAAACGTGCCGCGCCCGCAGAGCAGAAACCGCTCGTTACAACGAGCCCCTTACCGGCCCCACGCGTCCCGAGGGCATCTGTCTGCTGGCTGGACGACTTGCTATGCTGGCTCTTCGACCCCCTTTCTCTTCATTTTCCTTCTGCTCCAACAAGCTGCTCCCAGCACGGACATGAGCCCCTCGTCCCCGTTCCCCTCTCACACCTCCGTCAGAGAACGGCCCCCCTGTGGGACAGCCCTGCTCGCCGTGCTGGCCATATAGGTCGTGTAGGAGCCCGCTGTCACCCGCGTCACTTACCGGCCCCGGTCCCTTCTCACCTTGCCCCATCGAGGGGGTAGCGGGGTGGAAAAGACAGAGGCTGGACAAGCTTCCGAGAAATAATAGAGATGTTCGGGTTGCGACCAACAATCCCATCGCCTCGCTTGCTGAAAGAATAAGAGAAAAGAAACGGAAAGAAGGCGGGTGGCAACACTTTAAAATCATTTCGTTCACTTTAAAACAATTTTTTTTTTTTTTTGAAAATGCCCATTTTGGGGCTGGCCGGGTTGTGGTTGTAACCTTGACTGCTGCACGAGCTGCTACGCGGCCACGCGTCCTGGCTGACGGCCAGCCCCTGTGGTCCGGTGGCCTCGGGGGCGGCCCGGGGGCGGCGCGGGGGATCCCGGTGAGGGGGTCGGGGGCCTCTCTATTAACACAGAGCCACGCCGCCGCTCTTATGAAATATCGTTCGGGAAAGTTGTCACGCCGCTGCTGTCGCCGTCGCGCACTGTCCAAACCGCAATTAATTATTATTTCCCTGTGGGGGAGTATGATTTTTATTTTTTTGAAATGCCGACCATTTTTTTCCCAACCGAGCATATACACGCATAGACACCGTAAAGGAATATCATCAAAAAATGATTTTGTATTAACTCTGGTATTTACAAATTTACGGTAGAAACTATAAGACTATACACCAGTTATCTTTTTATTTCCATTTTGCATCCTGCTAAAAACAAAGATTTGGTTTTGATATGCGGTTTAAAATTTTCTCGTTTGATCAATGGGAAAAAATGTTTGTTGTTAGGTGGTAGCACGTCTTTCAAAGTTGTGTAATTATTTCAATTATTAGTTTTGAAAATTTGAATGCTTTTGCTTGTTTACTGAAGAGACGTTCTGACTCAGACGTCAAGGCCGTGTCAATTTCGATCAAAAGGACAAAATCACATGCAGAGTCGAGGGCGGGGGTGTGGAGGCATTTCCACCCAATCAACCGTCTCTTGTTCACATTCCTACTGCTATGCCCTCCAAAAGTTTCAAGCTGATTCTAATCCCTTTCCTTTTCGTTTTGCCTTCAGGGTTTTTTCGCCTGTTGTCGCAGTAGACTAGCAAGCGTGCTGTCTCTGGCCGCTTTCGTCCAACAACTTGGGAACTCCTCATAATTCTCGCCGGTAAGTGTGACCCATTCCAGCACCGGGGTCGGTCTGATCACGCTGGCGACAGCGTGGAAAAATTCGAGAAATAGGTTCTTCCAGGAACACTCTTTCTCAGCGTCGCACGTGTGCTTTCGCTCTTCGTGACGGCGGGGTGGGGAGGACTTCAGGGACGCACGGCGGGCTGGCGGGATGCCCGGGCGTGGTGGGGTGCGTGGCGGGGCGTGTAGGAGCCCCTTGGACGGGGGCTGGGCTGGACCGCTTCTCAGTCCTGATACTACAACACGCCTCGCCGCACGATACTACTACGACATACTTGTGGGTCCGGATATTTGGCCAATAAATAATTGCCGTTTCCGCAGCTGTGTCGTTGCGCAAACTATGATGATAACGGCGAGGTTTAGACTGCCGCTGAAGTGGCGTTAGTACACAATATTTCGGATAAGAAATATTATTTCGTGAAATCGCAGAAATTACAATCCCTTTTACCGGGTACCCTACCCTGCAAGCCCGCCATCCTTCATATAGCTATAGATTTTAGGCAGCCCTACTCCTTTAAAAAGGTAATAAAGTGGGCACTTTTAATCGATCCGCTGTGTGTAGGTTTGGCGGAAGACGCAGGGCCTGCTTGTTTTAATTTGCTATGATTGTGGTTTTGGTTCGACGCCAAGAATAAAGCTTTTCGTCCTCTCCCAGTTCGTTGGCGCGATGTGGTCCAATTCGATGGATTTAAGACGTGCTCGTGTGTCTGTGTGTGTGCGTCTGAGGGGATGGGGGTGGAGCGATCGAGGGGGTGGTCGCTAAGGCCGAAGGGCAAGGCCACGGCAGCCCTTGACTCATCCACTACTGCCCCAGCCATCTTGCAGCGTTCGGCGTTTCCCCTCTGACGGCCGCGGCTCTTCCCTGCGCTCGCCAGCAGCGCCTCCTTTTCTGCTATTTGCATAAAAATTCATTCCACGTCTCGCGGAGAGCTGAGGCGGAAGGGCGCTCGGGGCGAGGCCGTGGTGGCGGTATGACCAGTCCGGGGTTCCGCCCCGATTTTGCTTGCCCACCTCCACGCGAAGCCCGGGCCCCGGGCCACGCCACGCCACGCCGCCACCTGGCTCACATCGCATTCTGCTGACATTTGAGCTCCCCGCGGCGCGAGTCCCAGGGCAGAGCTGGCCCTTGCTGGGCAGGGCATGGGGAGGCGTGGCCGGAATTCTGCTTAGCGAGCAAAGTTTCCCGGTGTGAAAGGGCGAGTCTCCGGGAGAGAAACTCTCCCGCAGATTGGCGAGGCGAGGCGGGGCAGATGTTCTCTCGAAGAAGTCAGTCGCCACGCCTCGCACCGCGCCGCCTGCTCGCTGTGGGCCGACCGGGCCCGGCGGGCTGGAAACTCCTCGGCGGGCTGCGACATTAAGCTTTATTGGAGCGGCAGTTATCCGACGGGTAATTCACTCCCACCTCCACTGGTCCTGCCTGGAGAGTCTCCTGGAGCGTGCCTGGCGTCGTGCCGCCGCTCCGGTCCTGGAGAGTTTCCTATGGAGCGTCTCCTTCCGGAGCTTCCTCCAGGATCATGATGCTGATCCTGGCCAGCAGCCATTTCTGTACCGGCGAGTCGCTTGCACTTCACTGAGGCCACCGGATGCTTTGCGCGCTTAGTTTTGCAAAACGGAAACTTAATTTTAATTACGACGGCAGTTAAAATTTGAAGAGCTACTCGCCTGTTTCACAACCCCTGGCTTTCCGAAGTACAAGTGTGTTAGTGCGCAATGGGAAGAGAGAGGGAGAGCAGAGATGTTCGCAAGACTCCTTCAGTAAAGTTTGCCTCCACGACAGAGAGGTGGTTCAATTAATGAAGCGCGAGGGAACGTGCTCGTGGAGCTGATTTCATCCGACAAGACATAGTATGGCCCTGCCGTGGTGGATATCTAACGTGAGAGGGGCTGGAGGGTTAGAGGGCGAGGGGTAAGCATCCGGGTCTGCTCAGGTCTGCTGACGCGGGCGCCGGGGGTGTATGGAGGTAGGAGATGACTCGCCTGTAGGGTGTATAGGGCTCAGGCTCTGTGTGAGAGAGAGGGGAGGGGAGCGAGAGCGCAGGTATACGGGGGGAATGCTGATGCAGAGAGACGGATTAGGCTGGAAGAGGCAGCTAACGCAGTCGTGGCACAGCCGGGCCACTCGCCCACGGAAGGAGCTGCTGACGGCAGAGAGGGACCCGGGCAGCCTTGGGAGATTTAGTAAGGGTTGGGATTGAAACCGAAGACCCACCCACCTCCGCGCCCCGCCCCCTCCACACCCTGCTGCTCCCAGTCGTTTTCCCGTCGAGCAGCACGACACGGCAAATAAGCAATGCGGTCCCTTTGCCGATCAGTGATCAGCCCTCGCCGAAACCCGTGATGTTCATGGTTTTAAATTTCACGAGCTGATATCTGTTTGAATTTCTCATCCAATCAAGGTCAAAAAACTTAATAAAAGAAAATTAAATGGAAAAAGTACCGTCAAAACACATGTCTTCTTTTAATTTAGTTTTTTAAGTGTGAAAACTTGAATCATACAACTTTTGGTAACGTCTAAGTCTTATTTTGACAAAAACTTCTAAATTTTACCCCTTAGATGAAACGCACTTCTCAACATTTGCATACGTTTAAAGATAAATGCGTCAAGTAAAGTACGAAACAAAACATGATTGTTCTCTCAGTGCCGTGGGAACGTTGTTTCCATTCGACTCATGCATTATGTGCATTAAGCTCAGCTTGCTTGTGTTGAGTGCTGTGTGCCCACGCGTGCGTTCGGTCCCTCGGCCTCTCACCCCCTGGGGTCTCTGGTTGCCCCGCAAGCCCCATGCGAACAGTGGGCAAACCACACACACATGCACTGCCAAAGCAAGTGCGTTCAACTGGTTAATACCTCCAGTGTATTCAATGATCGCAATTGAGCTGTTATGGAGTAGCCATACAAAGTGTGCCCCTGTTCACTTGCCAGGCATGAGTGGACCCGCAATGCGTTGAGGCTTGCTGTGCGTCCTAGTGCGTGCAGTCAAATTGCGTAGCGGGTTTGCGGTGTACCCCTCTTTTGAATGCCGTGGCGACTGGCGGACCCGGGCCCGTCCAATATATGTGATGGACCAGACCGTCTAGTCTAGACGGGTGGGTGGGCTCCTGTATGGAGGCCCCTGATAAAAGAAACGGTGTATACACTGTTCAAAAATACCTTTCACTCAATACGTTCCCTGCGGCTCAGTTTTTGGGCCTATGATTTAACATTATGCACGCAGGGAACGTGTTAACAGTTTCAAACTGTGCATTTGAAAATATCATGTAAAAAGAAGTTATATTGGAAATGGTAGGGTATGGGACCCCCAAAATCCTTTAAAACAGTAGTTGAGAGGCAAATTTTACAATATTGTTTGTTGTACTATTTTTTGAAAGTGGTTATATTGTTCTTCTTTTAACTGTCGTTTAACTATCGGTTATCTCTGATGTTTTGTTTGAAAAGCCCGCAACGGCTTTGCCAGTTGCCAGCTTTCTTACAAACGGCAGCTTAGCGGTGGGGAATTGTTATCGAAAAGATCTAGCGGGTGGGGTGGGCGCGGACGAGGACTGCGGTACAAATGGCCAATCCGGAGGAGAACGTTGAGAATGAAAATGGCGCGCAAATTGATGGCGAAACTGAAAGGAAAGGATGGGGGCCTCACGGGCAATAGATTGCGCCTCGAGCACGTCCTACACTGCGGCAAGTGCTAAAGCTGTTCGAGTGCCTCCTAACATATCTGCAGTTGCAACAATCTTTTCACAACTTTTTTTCTTGAAACCTGTGTGTCGCACCTGTAATAATACCAGTTGTGAGTCCCCTCGGTGTGTTCGCCTCATGCGTCGCCACTTGCGGAGGCTGCACCCATGAATCACTGTGCGCGCGAAGACGGGCGACCCGCAGCCTCGCTCACCGTGTTTCAATGTTAATTAAGGTGGTCTTGATTTATCGCGACAACGCCTCGCCACGCCCGGCCGCGGACCCAGCTGGGCCTGAGCAGCGTTCACGTCCCACTCATCATTCGAATCGCACTAATTGCTCTCTCTCTCGCTCCGCGCGAGGATGGGCTGCGCCCCAGCCTCCACACCCCCTCCTGCCATTTCTTTGATTTGCGATAGCGCCCCATCCGCGCCTATAACTACTTCAGAACTAATACACCGTTCAACCTATGCACGATGAAAAAGAGTCTAATTTACTTTTTGGGGGAAAGGAGAAAAGTTGAGGGCACCCTTCGTTTGGATTTTGAGGATGTCCCATAAAAAAATTAGGCGTATTACCACATTTTTTGAGGAGACCTTCTCAAATTATAGGAGTTCCTTAAAGTTTTCTCTTCTCAAAAAATCAGACAAAACCAAAACCAAAAGAAGAAAGAAGACGCTCTAAATCATTTTGCTGCTGGCGTCACGCGTCGTAAAACTGCCGCTCTTATCTCTCTCCGCTGAGATGTCACGTGTAACGACGCCGGGTTTAGTACCGCACAGCCCAGGCCCTCCTCGGCGCCACCGGCGCGTCGCTTCATTGACAGGCCGCATCACGCCGCCGTCACCTCAGCGGCTCAGCGCCCGCACAGCCTTCCCTCCCCCTCAGCGGACACTAGTGGAAAACACATCTGTGAATTTGTAGTATTTTTTGTAGTTCACGATTCACAAGGAATTTCGTATATTGCCAACGGTCAGTATCGTGTACGAATCTAAGAGCAAAACAATTTTGTAACATTACGGTGTAAAATCGTAACCTTTCTCAACATTTTTCTTGCATGCAAAACTTCCCCGTTAAAATCTCAAAAGTGTTTTTCACAGTGGGTCAGAGAGGATTCCAAAACTTCTCTCGCGTCGTGTCGTCTGGCGCGGCCGGGATCACGGGGTGCGGGACGCTTCTTTCAAGTCACGTGACTAACACTCGGGACCACTCCATCATGCATGAGGGTGACACCATTCAGCCCCTCTCCTCCCCCATCACTCTCTCTCACTCACTCTCTCAGTCTCTGCCCGTAAGGTGCTGCTGTGG